ATATAAAAATAAGTGTAAAACACTTATTTTTGGCTGTTGGCATTTGTGAAACAGAGGATTGATTTGTGTTAAAATCAATTGAAATGTTGAATCTAGGGAATCACGGTGTAACTACAATTGATCATCTTCATCTTGACGGTGTCTTGTAGAATGTGACGAGTTTCTTTCTAACCCTCAGTTAGGTCTTTGTCCTCAACGATATCCTGAACAATCTGACTGTCACTCGCCCGGCTGTCTGTCCTTGGCAGTCAGGCTGCTCTGACACAAGCACCGTTGCTGACCTGAGGTTGAAGCTGGGAGTTGATGATGGGATCAGTGACATGCACAGATATTTTGAGAAGCAGGTGCTAAGAGAAAAAAAATAAGGGCACCTTGGACTGGACTGACTGCTTGCGGCTGCCGTTCTTTAACTTGTCTCAGCCTTTTCTTTCAAGATATAATGCTGCAGTTGGTAAATGAAAAGAGCCCAACAGTATGAATAAGTGCCATTACGACAAGGCAGAGAGCCACTTTTTCTGTTCCCCAATTTGTCACAGATATTAAATAAAGTGGCACTTCGGCCCAGAGGCGATGTCTCTGTCATTGGTGTGAAACCTTATGCTTCACCTCCTGGACAACATCGAATCCGGTTAGGGCGGTTGGTACCTTCCAGTGGACTCACCACTCACCGAAATTCTGCCTTGAGCAGAGCTCAGGCTGAGCACTGAGGTTAGCAGCGAAAGGGAAAAAAAAACTGGGAGCCGACTCTCACTCGATGCGAGCCGGGTCTTCTGATTCACTACAAAGCATCGGATCTCAGAGCCGCATCTTTTGCACATGACACATCACTAGTAAGCATTCCGATTTACCAATAACGCTGCCTTAGCCAATCATCGTCAATTATGCGGTTGCGTTTATTTTATCACCGTTCTTCCAATCACTAATTAAAAAAAAACCACTTTCATAAGGGCACATCCTTGGGCCAAAGTGGCAGGGTCTACAGCGCCACCTAGTGTTTATCTGTGCACGTCACCGGATGGGATGTTAAGATCAAGGAGATTCATTAAGAGTCAGTAACTATAACTACATATGATTTTTATGATATATTTTTCAGTTTGTTTGCCTTTAAGAACACATTTTGGATGCGTTTTAATTAAATTAATATTGGTATTATATCATTGGTGAACTACTTGTCATTGTGACGCAGCACACAACGAAATGTGACCTCTGCTTCCAAAATCACTAACTATGAAGCTTAGGCTAATCTAACATGGCTATATTAGAATTAATATATAATGTTTAATCGTATGCTTTACAGAAAATGACACCATAGACACAAAGTTCGTAAAGGGTGGTTAATGAAGTAAACATAGAGAAGCCTGTGCTTTGGAATCACTCCGATGTGATTTTTTGACAGGTGTTCGTTTTTACTTCTGGATCATTCTCACCTCGTCTCCAGTGCCCAGGCAGAGGAAACCGCTGCTGATCATTTCCCAGTGAACGAAACAAACCACAGCGTCGTGAGGAGAATTGATCCTGTCAGAGACGCAGGTGAACAGCAGCTCCAAACCCGCCATCTTCGATTTACAGTCTTTATATTTATCTTCATATATTTAAAGAAAAGCAAACAAAAACCTTCTTGTTTTTGTGGTCAGTTCCGCAGAAGTGAAACCAGAAGTCTGCTTATTCCTCTTCTTTATTTTTACTGGCCGTTCAAACAGTTGAGTGGTTCACTACCGCCACCGTCTGATCACCAGATGTACACTACGTGGCTTTATATTATTAATATCTTTGATGCTTTGATGAGTGATTATAATTATGGAAGCCCATTTCGGTTACTTTTGTGTGGGGGGGGGGGGAATCATGAATTGTTAAGTAAAAACAATTACGTACCATCTCATTATTGTAAGATAGTAGTTCGTTATTATGAGATACTAACTCATATTAATAAGTATTATGTCATATCTCTCTCAGTTTCTCCTCTTTTTTTTTTTCTTTTTTTTTTTTACTTAATCGATGTTTAACCGCGCGAAAATGGGCTTCAATGCAGTACAACTACCGCACAAGCCTACTTTTTCGTCAGGCACAGCTGCTGTGTATTTGTTTCCGGTTCAAACGGAAACGAGGTCCTCACAGTGCGGTTGTTCTTCAGGAGCAGAAAAGACGGGATTTCAGTGCTTTTTTTGTGTGTTTAAATCATGTCTGGAAGAGCAGGTGAGCTTATGTTTGTTGAAACCTCAGAAAAATTATAGGAAAAAACCCTCATATTTTCATTTAGATTTAGTACATTCGCAAACCAGGAAACTAACAGCTCAGTGAAATCTGCGAAAGAAAATAAATAAATTGTTCTTTTTATTTCAATAAATGTCAAATTACCTAAATAATATTTGAAACTATAGTTGTTAGTTAGTTTTATTGTAGAACATTTTTAATCTTTGCTGTTTTGAAATGCAACTGCTGTTGATAAATGTACGTTAATTATTCTATTTATTTTAAGGAGGTAAAAAGAAACCACTGAAGGCCCCTAAAAAACAGGACAAAGAAATGGACGAGGTAAATATTCGTTAACCATTTTTAAGAATAAAAATGTGTATAATTAATTGTTTGTCAGCTTCCACAGTAAACCTCATACACAAACGCGACATACGAATTAACTTTAGTGTGTTGTAGGAATGAGAGAACGGCACAAAGAGGACAGAAAGAATCTTGCAGTGTTAATGATGACCTTGTGTGTGTGTGTAAATCAGGGTTAATGGTCACACGAAGATCATAACATAGAGACAACTGAGCTAAATGTTTGTTATTCCAGGACGACGTTGCCTTTAAGCAGAAGCAGAAGGATGAACAGAAAGCCTTAGATGCCCTGAAGGCCAAGGCTTCAGGAAAAGGACCTTTAGGTGAGAACAAATAGCTTTATCCTAAAATATTTACAAAATTCAACTATGTGTACAATTCATAAAACAAAGTAAAACAAAAGCTTTGTCACACAGAAATAATAATTAAAAAAACAAAACCCAGAATGTATAAAACAAAGAAAGGGTAGTTGTGTCTATTCATAAGGGAGAAATTGACAACACAAATGTATTTTCAGGTTTAAAATCCTTTTAATCAAATTAACAAGCATATTACAGTTTTTGTTTATTTTGACAGCAGGCTGGTAATTTCACTGCTTTTAAAATCTTTGATCTCCTTATTGGGGCATATGTCATCTTTGCTCTTACTGTAATTAAGTTAATTGCATTTGATCTCATACTTGGTATATTAAGTTATTTAAGTACTTTTTACTGTTTACTTGACTTTTAACTTGACTTTCAGCACTAAAATCCTTCTTTTTTTCCTGCAGGTGGCAGTGGAATTAAAAAATCCGGCAAGAAGTAAAGTGTGGCTTTTGCCATCACTTCCAGTGACTTTTGTACCCATGCTGGTCCAACCCCATTTGCTTGGCCGTCTTCAAATTTGGATTGTGACGATTTTAAAGGGAACATGTCTTGGTTTTTTTTTTTGGTACAAATAGAAAACCTTTTTTTTTCCATTTCTAGTTTCTTTTTATTGTGAAAGGCAGACAGCAATAAAGATTTCAATCACTCATTGCCTTTATTTCTGTTGCCCAGCCATTGTTTAAAAATACACAGCATGTGTATGGGATAAGCTGTCCAAGGAAGCCCTAATTTACTACTTACAAATACAATACAACAGTTGTCAATGTCAATGGTACATAAGAGGTGTTCAGATGTTCGCCTGTTGTTGCCATGTAAATAAAAAGGCACCACTGCTGTTGTGTTTAGGTGGTCAATGATGTCCAACGGACTGAATCAGACCTGGGCATCGTACGACTGCAAGGCCAAATGCAGGGCCTGTGCTATAACAGTATCAATTACTTACCGTTCACACCTATAGTCAGTCTAGATTGTCCACTAACCTAACCCCTTCATGTGCATATTATAAGAAGAACATGCAAACTCCGTACAGAACCATTAACCCAGGATCAAACTTGCAAACCTGTGATGTCCACCACCCCAGTCAGCCAATTTTGACTTAACCTGCACTCGACTGCTATACTAATCAATGCCCCGGTCCCCCATGTCACATCTGCAACTCACAGTTCCATGATTTACCACAAAGTCTCTCAATAAACCTCAACTCATTCAGAAGCCATCGGCCTAAATCGTCTCCACAATCTCTCCTGCACAATAGTTGAGCGCAGACCTTAATCATTTTCAGTGGTTCCCTTACGGTTAATGCACTGAATTCAAAATCCTATCTCTCACTTTAAAATCCCTACACAAATCCATTCAAATGTATTGTTATTATTATTATTATTGAACTGCTAATGAAGATTTCATGAAGTATAATAGTTTCAGTATGTGTTTTTGTACTGAACCGTTAGGTAATACATACAAATTTGACACATTTCATATATATATATATATAGTATGTGACAGTACAGAGCACCTGGTCAGTGAACGCGCCACTTCAGAACAGCACTTAGTGATAGGTCTGTGAACGCATCGCACTAGCAGATGTCAGCACTGTGCGGCAGGTCGGTAAACGCCTCAAAGCAGTAACAGTATGGCGGCTCTGAGTCTGACAGAAACAGAAGCACCAGAAAAAAAGCTTCTCGTCGTTCCTTAGCAGCAATGTCTGAAGGATTTGGGGTCAAAACTCAGCATGGGGTTGGTTTAATTCTCTCGTAACACGAACACTAGGAGTAAACGCTGACTACACGCTGCAAGGTTTTATTTTGTGAGCAATTGTAGTTAAATAACTAAATTTCCTGTTAGTCGCTATTGCGAAAGCTATGCTAGTTAGCCTCAGATGCTGGTAGACAAGCACAAGCTTGTTCGTTAAATATTTGCGGTGTTTTAACAGCGGTAGATTGGGGCACCACTCGTTTATGAAGCTGGTGAAACTAGTGTGATGAAACGTCAAAAATCCACTCATAAACATGTCAGAACTCGTTAGCTTAGCATTAGCTTGGTGGTGTAGAACTAGGGACTGAAGCTAACGCTGCTAACTGTCATTCTAGCAGCACAGGAAGAGGCGCTAACACATGTTAATCCCGGATTATTGGGAGTTTGATCGTCAATCTAAATTAGAAATAGTTTTTTTGCGAACGGGTGTAGCTGCAGATCAGAGGGAGTGGTTCGTAGATAAGACCAAGCTAAGGTTTAGGTTGTGAATGACGAACAGGTTACAGCTGTATGTGTGTTAGGACAAGATTGAACACATTTGTTTGTGTTTCTCTAGTTGACGTCTCCGGTCCTCGGCTTTTAAAGTGTTTAAGGAATTTGGGAAGTTTTTTTCTTAGCTGTATTCTGGACTAATGTGGATCTGGACCCGTTTGTCCTGGGCCCGGTCATTGTCGGTCTGTACTCTGATGTTAACGTAGCGAAAGAAAAACTGTTGGGTTTTATTTGATTGTTTGTTGGTTTTTTTTTTTTGGTAAATCTACACGAATAGGAACTGGACCACTTAAAAAATTGGACCAAAGAACTGTTTCAGGACTGGACCATGGTCTTTGAATAGAGTGAACAGGATTTCAAGATTTATTTTGGCCTAAAACTTAGGCTATAGGAAAGTTGCCATTCTGGATCAAGAGAACCTGCCCCTGGTGTCTGGCTGGAACAACACCCTAAAACCAGAGTCAATGCCGTCAGCGCTGGCCGTCTTTGCATGTCGACCAAACTCCCACCCCTTCCAGGAGAGACACGTGTATCTGGATGAGCCGGTCAAGATCGGCAGGTCGGTGGCTCGATGCCGCCCGGCCCAGAACAACGCCACTTTTGATTGTAAGGTTCTGTCTAGGAATCATGCCCTGGTCTGGTTTGACCAGAAGACTGGCAAGGTAAGAAGCCTAATCGGATAGGTCATTTTTTGGAGCCATAGACTTTGATAGACCATTTGTAATTGTTGCCATGGTAACCATTAAGTTTGAATATTTATATTTTGCAAAAGGGCTGTGTAACCCCTCCCCCCACCCCCCTTAGGTTACACCACTATTATTGGAGATCTGACTGGGCTCTGTTCTAAAACTTTTAGTTATTTCTGTTTAGAGAATAAACAGAATGACCATGGTTTTATTCTGAATGCAGACCCAAATGTCATCCTATTAAGACCTGGACTGCATTAGAAAAAGATTTCATGAGGTAAATCCATTTTAACAGAAAAAGGTTCTCAGGTTACTACATAAAAAAAACGCAGTGTCCTTATTCTCATGTAAAGAATCTCAGCCATGGATGCTGTGCAAATGGGGATTCAAAACCTGAGCAGAGTGAAAAATTACACCTTCATGACTCAAAATCTGTGTTTCTATTTAGAACCAAGCCAAGAGACACAGCACAGCATTTCCGCTGAAAGATGCCAGATAAAACAGCTGTTTATTGGCACAACAACATAGTGTTCTGGTTTCTGGGAAGTTGATAGATGTTGCATTAAGTTAATGGTTTATGTTCATTTTCTTTGTTTTAAAAATAACCCGGATAAGGCTTATTTATTTTTTGTTTACTTATGGGACTTTAATTTCAGAGATTAGAACTTGGTAAATTTTAATAGCCGTAGAGGTTTCCACCGCTCGTGGGGATGTAGTTCTGACATGATGTTTAAGTCCAACGATAAAACATTCCCATGATCATTAGTGTCAAGTCACTGAACAAGTGTCAAGCCGGTTTAACCTGCTGACACAAACTAATGCGCAAGTGTGGTATGAAGTGTGTGTGTGTGTGTGTGTGTGTACGTGCATGCTCCTGCTGTTAGCTATTAATATACCAGCAGTGTCGTCATCGCCTGGTCTAAAATCACACATTTCTTCGCGGACTTTGGTCGGTCAGCTAAAGTTGTCGAGGAGTAAAAAATCACACGTTTCTAACCCAATCTGGTCTGGTCTGGTTCCAGTTTTACCTCCAAGACACCAAGAGCAGCAATGGAACTTTCATAAACAGCCAGAGACTGAGTCGTGGTTCGGAGGAAAGTCCGCCCTGTGAGCTTCTGTCTGGCGACATTATACAGTTTGGTGTAGACGTCACCGAAAACACCCGCAAAGGTAAGACCACAATTTAGGTCATACCCAGACCCATGTTGTTCACGTGAAGAGACTCTAGATGTTGTACTTTTGAATACAACCACCCAAGGCACTCCGGTTGTCTAAACGTTAGCATTGAAAGAGGGCTAATGAATGAATCTAAGTTTAAGTTTACAAAGATGCCAATGGGCCTGAAGTCACTGAAGCTAAGCTAACATTCCAGCTTTAGCATGCTAACGTAAACCAAACATGGCTCTGTGTTCCAGTCACCCATGGCTGCATTGTCTCTGCAATAAAACTCTTTTTACCAGATGGGATGGAAGCACGGAGACGCAGCGAGTGAGTTCTTTTATTTATTTCTTAAAAATTCCTCCAGTCTTCATTGGTCCATGTTTTTACTATTCCGGTTCTGGTACCTCTGTAAAATTGGTTGATCACTGATCAAATGTGGGCTGAGATGATCTGAATCCATTAGTTACTATGTCCTGGTTTACTTGCTTGACTTTCTTTGTCTTTTTCTGTCGTCAGTGTGATCCAGACACCACTGCCAATCCCTGTGGACAAGGTAAGAACACACACACACAGCTAACAGCTAATGTTTCATTGAGGTAAATCTGTGAAGCGAAAAAAGACAACTTACACTATAGTGCCAAAAGTATTCACTCACCCATCCAAATGATCGGAATCAGGAGTTCCAATCACTTCCATAGCCACGGGTATATAAAATCGAGCACCCGGGCATGTAAACTGTTTTTACAAACATTTGTGAAAGAACGGGTCGCGCTCAGGAGCTCAGTGAATTCCGGCGTGAAACTCAGGATGCCACACGGGTGCGAACAAATCGTCGTGAAAATTTCCTCGCTCCTAAATATTCCACAGTCAACTGTCGGCTGTATTATAAAAACCATGGAAGTGTTTGGGAACGACACCAACTGAGCCACAAAGTGGTAGGCCACTTAAACTGACTGTTAAGCCATACCTTCTCGACCAACATCAGTGTGTGACCTCACAAATGCGCATTCTGGAAGAATGGTAACGTTCCCATAAACACTCCTCCTAAACTTTGTAGACTGCTTTCCCAGATGAGTTGAAGCTGTTATAGCTGCAAAGAGTGAACAGACATCATATTGAACTCTATGGATTAGGAATGGGATGTCACTTCAGTTCATCCTATGGATTAGTCACTTTAGTTCATATTAGGAGTCAAGGCAGGTGAGCGAATACCTTTGGCCATATAATGTATTTAAATGAAAATAAACTAGCGGTAGATCCACTAATCACATTTTACTATTCTTACCTATTAGTACACAGGGTAACTGATTCAAATACGTGCAAATGAATTTGTCATCTATTAATCGTCGCATTAATTTCTATTGACAAAATGCCATAAATAATTGTGATAAATCTTTTTACCAATATCACTCAACTGGACCACAGTGGGTCAACAACTGTTGTGACTCTGCTGAGCCGAAGTCATGGTCTTATTTTTACTTTTTAAGTTACACGAAAAGGACTTGTGTATGTGTGTGTGTGTGTTGTTTTTGTTGTTGTCGTGTATGATTGATTTTGGTTTTTTTGTAGGTTGCAGCCAACAGTCCCAGTGTCTATTCTCAGGAACTGTTCCAGTTGTCCCAGTATCTACAGGTAACATAGTAGAACAGAATAGTCTGTATTCTCATTGTAACACCTGCTCCTCAGTCGACACCCGAATACACCCAAGCTTATCTTCTCCTTTTTCCCTCCAGGAGGCCTTACACAGGGAGCAGATGTTGGAGCAGAAGTTGGCCACGCTGCAGCGACTGTTGACCTCCACACAGGAGGCGTCAGAGAGCAGTTGGCAGGTCTACTTCAAAAACTCAATCGAGTTATCTGTGCAAGACATTCTACCTGGACAGTTGGATATAGATGGATAGATAAGATGGATGAATACATAGGTAGATAGGTATATATTGCCATAGTTAGATAGGTCAATCTAGCTATCTTCATAAACCCCCATGGGAAGTCCCTTTGGGAAATTAAGGAACTGTGGAGTCTTCCTTCTAATAATGATGGTAATGCATTGGGCTCGATAAATATGATGGTAACACACAAGGAGATCCAAGGCACATGTTGGATGGATAGAACTTAATTTTGTTTGGAATAAATTCACTCAAAATTGAAAAAAAAAAAAAAACATTAAATGCCATATAATCATATTAAGCAAAAGTTATTGGGACCATATAACTCTACAACTCTACAGTTTTGATGGTACCTACTGTGTTAGAGGGAGTCCAGGTAGAGAGGTGACTTTAGAATATTGCTGTTGTTAATAATAATATGAATTATTATTATTATTATACAATACTGTTTATGTGATATTGCGCCTTGTACCTGTTCTTTAATAACAGGAATAAAAGTTCTGCAATGTCTGGGCTTAACACAATCGCAGTTTAGTGCATTTTCTGTCACTGCGAAGCAGAACCAACACTATACCAGGTTTTCTCTTCACCCAGTTTTGCAGCAGAGTGACGTTAAAAAAAAAACAGAGAATAGACTGCTATACTAATACATGTGTTGATATCAGTGACAGTGTCCCGTTCTATATGGTGTATAAACATATATTAACATATGTCCTCAAACTCCATATGTTGATGATGATGTCTGTGACAGCTGCGATAAATGTGTTGATGCTCAGGCTCTCATTGATGAGGACCGCCTTCTGTCTCGACTGGAGGTGATGGGCTGTCAGCTGCAGGCCTACTCGAAGGTACCGCCCCCTTGTGGTCTGTCTGCGTGTCTGTCCAGTCCACGGTGACCTCAGTCAACCGCAGTCTCCTCTGCTCTCTCAGGCTCAAACGGAGGAAGGGCTTCGCAAAGAACTGCTGGCTCTGCAGGAAGACAAACACAACTACGAGACCACAGCCAAGGAGTCACTGAGGAGAGTCCTGCAGGAGAAGATCGAGGTGGTGAGGAAGCTATCGGAGGTGGAGGTAAGGAGGGGGGAGGAGTTCACAGAGATGATGGTTTTTTTTTTATTGTTGTATTTTCTAACAATTAATTAAATTATTTTAGTTGATTTTTTTTTATTTTTTTTTATTTCATCCAAAGCATTTTAGAGTACTTGATTCTTGAAACATTTCTTTTGTAATAATTATTTAAGTAGCTCCAGTTGTGGTTCCATAGTGTAGTCCCAAGGTCCTGGGTTTCATCCCAAGAGGAATTACATACTTCAAGGGGGCAGCAGAAATGCTGTTAACACAAAAATTTCCCAGTGTGTGATCAGTGAAGTTAAATTTTTTGTTTGTTTGTAATTATTATTCAAATACCTTGTCTTTGTTTATTTTACCCTGCTTTAATTGTTACTTGTTGTTGTTTTCTGTTTTTTTTTTTTTTTTTTTATAGCGCTCCCTCAGTAACACCGAAGATGAGTGCACTCACCTGAAGGAGGCAACGGAGAGAAGTCAGGATGAGCTGAAGGAGTTGGCCGACAAATACAACGCTGCCGTGGAGGAGATCCGAGAGCTGAACCACAAGATCAAGGTTTGGTTTTAATTCAAATCGACAGATGGATCGCAGCTCTGCTCCCTCCATTCAAACCTCCTCCTCTTAGGCTGCAGAAGGTCGTCAGGAGGAGTTGACTCAGAGAGGAGCTACCGAGAAAAAAGAGCTGGAGTTGAAGATTGAAGAGCTGGAGGAGAAGGAGCAGCTCCTCCAGGCCAGGATTGAAGCTCTTCAGGCCGACAAGGACTTTACCAACCAGCGGCTCAGTGCACTGCAGGGTGAGTCAGGGAGAGGATGAGTGAGTCCAACCTTTAGCAGTGTTGAAGGGTCAGAGTCACTGATGGTGTCGCTTCCTCCATCGGTTAATACAGTGCGGATGGAGCAGCTGCAGGAGAAGAACAGTAAAGACAACAACAGCCTGGGTGAGTCCTCAAAACATCTCCGACCTTCTCGTCTTCTTCTTCTTCTTCTTCTTCTTCTTCTTCTTCTTCTTCTTACCCTCTTCCTTCTCCTCTGTTATTCTCTTTGTGCCTTCAACGAGCACAAGATTTTCCCTTCTTCTTCTCCTCTGTTATTCTGTTTGTGCCTTCAACGAGCACAAGATTTTTATTTTTGTTCACACGTTTCTGTCAATGACCTTACTCCAACATATACAGTGTGTCCACTGTTCCATCTTAACATCCACGCCCACCTTAACCCCCACATCCACCTTAATACCCACACCCACCTTAACACCCACAATCACCTTGATGACCACGGCCACCTTAGCGTCCACGTCTGTCTTGCAGCCATGCCCACCTCTGCTCTTGGGTTCCCTTGGATCTTCTAAGAACTGTTGGCAGTTCTAAACTTTTCACTGCTAGGTTTTGTGGGTCTGATGCATGGACCGTGTCAGTTATTGAATGTGGTTTGATCTGATCTGGTCACATGACAGACACGGTTCCTCCTGGAGATCATGCTGTGGAGGTGGAGGAGAGACAGGAGGACAAGGACGATATGGACGATATGGATGATATGGATGATAGTGCAGGAGACTCTTCTGGTTGGTTCTTCCGAGTCCCCTCTAGTGTTTTGATCAGTAATAGTACTGATGGGTTTAAAACGGATCTGGTGGTCAGTTCTGGTGATGTTGATGCTTTTAAGAGATTTTGGTAGATCTGATTTAGGAACTGTTCTGGTCTGCTGTTGTGGGTTTTTTTGATGGGTATGAAGCAGTTCTGGTGATTGGTTCATGTGGTTCTGTTTTGTTGAGAGCATTTGGTTTTGGTTCAGAACCTCACTGATCCTGATGTTCTTTTCAGACAACTGTCACGTGAACAACAGTGGAGGAGAGTCGCCAAAAATTCAGCAGCTGATCCAATGTCCATGTGAGTGTCTCTCACACACAGACAGAGACAGAGACACATACAGACACGCAGACAGCATATTTAAACTCCTGTTTAGGTTGTCTTCCAGCATTTATGGTATTTTTTCAGATGAAGCTCGTAGCTAATCATGGTTATTGTCATGCTTTTTAGTTTGTTTTTTTTTTTTTTGTTTTTTTTAACCAACATTAACCAAGTGTGATTACTTCTTTGGGTCTCAGCAGCAGTGAAAGCCATAAAGGAAAATGTCGTCTCTGCAAAGCAAAAACGAACAAGCTTTGATGGTGAGATGTTAGCATTAGCATTTTAGCATACACGTTAGCACCAAGGCATGGCTTTTGAAACAATTATTATAAAAAAAGTTTTCTTTCTGACATGAGATGTAGTTGTCATTTGTTGGTTTTATTTGTATTCCTTTGCAGACATGCTGGACGCTCATCTGCAGAACAACCAGAGGACAGAAGAAGATCCTGATCCAGGAAGAGGTGAGTAGTAGAACTGAACACTGATATCATCGGAACAAAGGTCATCTGGTCAAAAATCTTTTATCCCATCACAGTGAACCAGATGGAGGCCCGAGAGTCTGACATGTCGGACACTCTGAGTCCCAGCAGAGACCGCAGCAGCGATGACACGTCAGACGGAAATGAAGATGAAGAGGAGCTGAACCAACGTCAGAACAGAGTCAGCTTGCACCAAGGTAAAGGGCAAAGGTCAGGGTCAGGGCAAAGGTCAGGGCAGAGGTTAAACAATAGTGTAAAGGTGAACAGACGCAGTTTGATTTGAAGAAGTCAACCCTGTGTGTGTGTGTCTGTGTGTAGAAGACCTCCATCCATCTCCTCTGGTTTCTGGAGAACCAGAGCAGATCATCCACCATCTTCACAGAGAACTTCTAGAGGCTCAGGATTTGGCTAACAATGGCAAACACAAGTGTCTGGAGCTGCAGGGTGAGATTAGAATAGGATTAAAATGAAGATGAAAACATTTAATTAATTCAAAATGGATTCAATTGAATATCCATTGAATACAAATTTGTATTGTAATGTAATCCAAATTAGTTAATTATCTTTGAACAATACATTAATGAACTTGTTAACTTGATAGTTCTGCTGGAAGAAGAGAGGCAGAGCAACTGCCGACTGACAGAGGAATCCACCAATCAGATTCAGTATTTGCAGTGTGAGTGTGAAGTCATTCTTTGAATTCATACTGTCAGTTCAGGGTCTGTGTTCATCTTGGTTCTTCTGTTCACTTACGACCTTGGATCGTGGTTTGTGTGTGTGTGTGTGTGTGTTTGTTTGTTTGTTTGTGTTTGCAGCTCAGCTGCTGAAGCTCCAGTCAGACCTGGAATCTCTGAGGGAGCAGAGGGAGATCAGCATCTGCAGCACCAGAGAAGAACTGGACTCCGCCCAGGACGAGGTTTTGACCATTTCCCCCCACAACAACGTATAGACGCCCACCTACTTCAAACCTGTGGTCTTAGATGTCACTTCCCGTGTCATCTCTTTCTGCAGATCCTGGTCCTGCGTCATGCTATGGAATCAGCTGCCAACGAGCGGGAGCGAGAGATCTCCACCCTGCAGGCTGACCTGGGTGGAGTCCGCTCAGAGCTGGAGCTCTGGAGAAGCAAGGCCTCCAAGTACGAGGAGGAGATCAGCCTCCTACAGGAGGCCTTCATCCAGCAGCAGGAGGAGCAGAAGACAGCCAATCAGCTGCAGGGTGAGGGAGGCCCGGTTGTCTTGGTCTTTGGAGGTTCTCAAGAGATTTAGGAGCTGGACCTTCTCTTTTTTTTTTTTAGCACATGGCCAAATATTTCCAGTACGCTTAATAAATGTTTTAAAAGACAACAACTTAATCTCTAATCTAATCTCTAATTTAATAATTAAATAAAATGTATTTATTTATTTATTTAATTTATTAATGTATTAATTTATTTTTTAATTTATTAATTTAAAATTTATTTTTTAATAATTAAAATTAATTAAATTAATTTAATAATTAATTTAGTTCTAATTTAATTCTAATCTCTTGTTTAATAACGGTTGTGACCTTACAAGTTCTTCTGTGTGCCTTCTCCCTCTAGCCCAGTGTGAAGTTCTGCAGCAGAAGTGTGTATGTTTGCAGCAGGACTGTGACGGACTCAGAGAAGAACGAGGAATTTTGCTGGACAGACTGAAGCAGCTGGAGGCGGAGCTTAGCAGGTGGGCACACCCCTCTATCTAAAAAGCACACATACATACACACAGTTCTGGTTTGTGTTTCTCAACCAAATCCAGGATTTGCTATACCCTGAAAAACCAGAACCTCCTGGGTCCTGGGGGGCCTCATATCAACCTTGTGAATAGAAGAACTATGTGTAGAATTTGTACCAAAAAAGTCCATATTCATCAAACATATGGACACTTACGTACGTGCACACTATTAAGGAAGTGAGAGATGATAAATTCCCTCCTGTTTGTCAGTATCATGCTTGTCCATGGTCATTCAGAAAAGCCTCCAAATGACCCCATATATGGCGGCAACAATCCCTTTAAGAATGCCGGAATGGATTGTTGTCCATTCATTGCAATCATGGCAAAGAGGGCAAAGAAGAGGAATTTCACACAGGTTTCGTTCGAACTGTCGCTTAAAAAAAATGGAATCCCTCGTAGAAACAAAATACAGAACCCTAAAAATTGATGCACTTTGTCCTGTGTTACCGGGAGAATTAAAGATAACCTGTACATTGTCAATGGAAATAATAATTCTTATTATATTGTATATAATTATATATAACATTGGTTTGTATAAAAACGTGTAGTTTTTATACACGTTATATATATATTATATATATTATATA